GTACAGCCCTGGGAAGCGCCTGCCGGTCCTGCACCCGACGTGGGACTGAGGCCCGAGGGAAGGGGGGTCTCCTCGACCTCTCCCCCTCCTCGACCTCTTCCCTTCCTCGTCCTCCTCGCCCTCCTCGTCGCCCCCCCCGTCCTCCTCGCCCTCCTCACCCTCCTCACCCTCCCTGTCCTCTGCCTCCTTCTTGACCTCTTCCCCTCCTCGTCCTCCTCGCCCTACTCGTCGCCCTCGTGGTCCTGCTCCCCCCCACCCCTGCCGAGCTCCGGCGGCGCGCCGCGGCGCACGGCCCCGCGGGGCCGCCCCACCGCCTCTCCCGAGTGGCCTCCCCTCTCGCGGCGCCCCCCCGCAGCTGGTCTGAAGAGCGCTGGGGCCATTGTTCCCCCTTTAAATTCTACGGGTCCACGACCCCCGGACCTCCACCTTCCGAACCTCCCGCGCCGCAGGTGCCGCCGCGGCGCCCGCCGAGACCGCTGCTGCGGTCTCGGCGGCCGCCACTGCGGCCGCACTGGCGGCGGCCGCTGCGCGGCATCTGCCGTCCAGAAGGTGCGGAAGGTGGAGGTCGAGGGAGCGTGCTCGCTTCCGTTCTGGGCGCCGTTCTTGTTGCGCCTTCCGGCCGGTGGTCGGCCCGTGGCCTTCCGTTTGCAGCAGTCTTTGTCCATGCGATCTTCGGTCTCTCGACGGCTCCTGCCTGACGTCCACACTCCAGGGTGTCGTTTTAGAACGCTGTGGTCGAGTCAAGAGCGGAAAGGAGGAGGAGGAGGAAGAGGAGGAGGAGGAGGAGGAGGGGGGAGGGAGGCGGGAGGAGGGAGGAGGGAGGAGGAGGAGGAGGAGGAGGAGGAGGGGCACAACATTTACGTAAATGTTCGGCGCCCTCTTGGTTTTCTGTACACCTTCGGTGTTCGGCGCCCTTTCGGTCTTCGGCGTTCCTTCGGTTCCTGGCGCGCCTGTGGTTTTCACACCCTTTGGGTTGTCGGTGGCCCTTTGATTTTCGGCGCTCTGCTGGTTTTCAAACCATTTTGCTATTCGGCGCTCCTTCCTTTCGCCAAAGGGTCGCGCTCTCTCATAGATCCGTTCCAGAGCTTCCCAGAAAGCTTTCAGGCAACGCACTGAGAGGGCCCTGGCGCCCGAAGCATCTCCAAGAGCCACCTCATCTCATTTCAGGGATCCCCGATTGCATCCTCGTCCTGGCTTTGTCTTATCTGGAGGCCGTGGGCGCCTTTTTGGAAATCCGAGGGGCGCCTCGGGTCAGGGGCAGTTCTGGCAGCACCGGAGGGGGAGACCCCGGCCGAGACCTCCTCATCCTCCTCCTTCCCTTCCTCCTCCTCTTCCTCCTCCTCCTCCTCCTTCCCTTCCTCCTCCTCCTCCTCCTCTTCCTTCCCTTCCTCCTCCTCCTCTTCCTTCTCCTCCTCCTCCTCCTTCTTCCCTTCCCTTCCTCCTCCTCCTCTTCCTCCTCCTTTTGCTCCTCCTCCTCCTCCTCCTCCTCCCCCTCCTCACCCCATCCGCCTCCTTCCCCTCCTCCCCCTCCTCCCCCTCCTCCTCCCCCTCCTCCTCCCCCTCCCCAAACTCCTGTAGAGCCTGCCGGTGTCTGGCGCGCGAGGGGGACGCAGGTGGGCTCCCGCCGCGCCGCGCCACCCTGGTCGTCGTCAGCCGTCGTCGTCGTCGTCGTCGTCGTTGTCGTCGTTGTCGCCGTCGTCGACATCGCCGCCGCCGCCGCCGCCGCCGCCGCCGTCGTCGTCGTCGTCGTCGTCGTCGTCGTCGTCGTCGTCGTCGCCGTCGTCGTCGTCGTCGTCGTCGTCGTCGTCGTCTTCGTCGTGGTCGTTGTTGTTGTCGTGGTCGTGGTCATGGTCGTGGTCGTCGCCGCCGTTGTCGTCGTGGTGGTCGTTCTTGTTGTCGTGGTCACGGTCGTAGTCGTGATGGTCGTGGTCGTCGCCGTCGTCGTTGTTGTCGTCGTCGTGGTCGTCATCGTCTTGGTGGTCGTCGTCGTCGTTGTTGTCGTCGTCGTGGTCGTCGTCTTCATTGTTGTCGTGGTTGTCGTCGACGTCGTTGTCATCATTGCCGTCATGGTTGTCGACGTCGTGGTCGTCGCCGTCGTCGCCATCGTGGTCGTCGTGATCGTCGCCGTCTTCGTGGTCGTCGCCGCCGTCGCTGCTGTCGTTGTCGCTGTGGTCGTGGTTGTCGTCGTCGTTGTCGTCGTCGGCGTCGGCGTCGTCGTAGTCGTCGTCGTCGTCGTGGTCGTCGTCGTCGTTGTTGTCGGCGTCGTCGTGGTCGTCGTGGTCATGGTCGTGGTCGTGGTTGTCGTCGTTGTCGTCTTGGAGGTCGTCGTGGTCATCGTCGTCGTCGTCGTCGTCGTCATCAGTGTCGTTGTCGTGGTCATTGCCGTCGTCATGGTCGTCGACGTCGTGGTTGTCATCATCGTCGTCTTCGTGGTCAGCGTGGTCGTCGTCGTGGTCATGGTCGTCGCCGCCGTCATTTCGGCGTTGTCGTCGTCGTGGTCGTCGCTATCGTCGCCGTTGTCGTCATCGTGGCCGTGGTTGTGGTCGTGGTCGTGGTCGTAGTCGTGGCCGTTGTCGTCGTCGTCGTAATTAGTTGATGCTGTCGTCGTCGTGGTCGTGGTCGTGGTCGTCGTCGTGGTCGTGGTCGTTGTCGTGGTCGTCGTCGTCGTCGTCGTCGTCGTTGAGGTCGGCATCGTTGTCGTCGTCGTCGTGGTCATTGCCGTCGTCATGGTCGGCGACGTCGTTGTCGTCGCCAACATCGTCGTCTTCGTGGTCGTCGTGGTCGTCGTCGTCATGGTCGTTGCCGCCGTCGTTGAAGTCGGCGTCGTCGTCGTCGCCGTCGTGGTTGTCGCCATCGTCGCCTTTGTCGTCGTCGTCGTTGGCGTCGTCGTGGTCGTGGTCGTCGTCGTCGTGGCCGTTGTCGTCGTGGTCGTCGTAATTAGTTGATGTTGCCGTCGTCGTTGTCGTGGTCGTCGTCGTGGTCGTCGTCGTGGTCGTCGGGGTTGTCGTCGTCGTCGGCGGCGACATCGTTGTCGTTGCCGTCGTCGACGTCGCGATCATTGCCGTCGTCATGGTCGTCGACGTCGTAGTCGTCGTCATCATCGTCGTGGTCGTGGTCGTCGTGGTCGTCGTCGTCGTGGAGGTCGCCGCTGTCGTGGAGGTCGGCGTCGTTGTCGTCGTCGTCGCCGTCGTTGCAGGTATTGGGTTGTCGTCGCCGTTGTCGTGGAGGTCGCCGTCGTCGTCGTCGCCGCTGTCGTGGAGGTCGCCGTCGTTGCCGTCGTTGTGGTCGTGCTTGTGGTCGTCCGCGTCGTCGTCGTGGTGGTCGTCGTGGTCGTCGTCGTCGTGGTCGTCGTCGTCGTCGCTGTCGCCGTTGTCTTCGTCGTCGTGGACGTGGTTGGTGTCGTGGTCGTGGTGGTGGTCGTCGTGATCGTGTTGTCGTCGTCGTCGTGGTCGTCGTCGTCGTTGTTGTCGATGTCGTCGTCGTCGTGGTCGTCGTGGTCGTGGTCGTCGGCGTCGTTGTCGTCGTGGTCGTCGGGGTGGTCGGCGTCCTCGTCGTCGTCGTCGTGGTCGTCGTCTTCGTTGCCGCCGTTGTCGTCGTCGTTGTTGTGGTCGTGGTCGTCGTCGTTGTCGTTGTCTTCGTGGTCGTCGTCGTAGCCGTTGTCGTCGTCGTCGTAGCCGTTGCCGTCGTCGTAGTGGTCGTCGTCGTCGTCGTGGTCGTCGCCGTGGTCGTCGTGGTGGTCGGCGTCCTCATCGGCGTCGTCGTCGTGGTCGTCGTCGTCGTTGTCGCCGTTGTCGTCGTCGTCGTGGTCGTGGTTCTGGTCGTGGTCGTGATCGTGGGCGTTGTCTTCGTCGTCGCGGTCGTCGTGGTCGTCGTCGTCGTCGTGGTCGTCGTCCGCGTCGCTGTTGTCGTCTTCGTGGTCGTCGTGGTCGCCGTTATCGTCGTGGTCGTCGGCGTCGGCGTCGTTGTCGTCTTGGTCGTCAGGTGGTCGGCATTCTCGTCGTCGTCGTCGTGGTCGTCGTCGTCTTGGTCGCCGTTGTGGTCGTGGTCGTGGTTGTGGTCTTGGTCGTGGTCATTGTCGTGGTCGTCGTCGTCGGCGAAGTTGTCGTCGTCGTGGTCGTCGTCGTCGTTGTCGTCGTCGTCGTGGTCGTCGTCGTCGGCGTCGTTGTCGTCGTGGTCGTGGTGGTGGTCGGCGTCCTCGGTGTCGTCGTCGTTGTCGTCGGCGTCGTCGTTGTCGCCGTTGTCGTCGTCGTCGTGGTCGTGGTCGTGGTCGTGGTCGTGGTCGTTGTCGTCGTCGTCGGCGTCGTCGTCGTCATGGTCGTCGTGGTCGTTGTTGTCGTCGGCGTCGTCGTCGTTGTGGTCGTCGTCGACGTGGTCGTGGTTGTGGTCGTGGTTGTGGTCGTTGTCGCCGTCGTCGTCGTGGTCGTCGTCGTCGTGGTCGTCGTCTTCGGCGTCGTTGTCGTCGTTGTCGTCGGGGTGGTGGGCGTCCTCGTCGTTGTCGCCGACGTCTTGGACGTCGTCGTGGTCGTTGTCGCCGTCGTCGTCGTCGTGGTCATGGTTGTGGTCGTGAAAGTGGTCGTCGTCGTCGTCGTGGTGGTCGTCGTCGTCGTCATCGTGGTCGTCTTCGTCGTCGTTGTTGTCGTCGTCGTGGTCGTCGTCGTCGTGGTCTTCGTCGTCGTGGGTCGTCTTCGTGGTCGTCGGCGTCGTCGTCGTCGTCGTGGTCGTCGTCGTCTTCGTTGTCGTCGTCGTCGTGGTCGTAGTCGTGGTTGAGGTGGTTGTCGTGGTCGTGGTCGTTGTCGTTGTCGTCGTTGTCGTTGTGGTCGTCGTGGTCGTCGTCGTCGTCGTCGTGGTCGTTTGTCGTCGTCGTCGCCGTTGTCGTCGTCGTCGTGGTCGTGGTTGTGGTCTTGGTCGTGGTCGTTGTGGTGGTCATTGTCGTCGTCGTCGTCATGGTCGTCGTCGTCGTCGTTGTCGCCGTTGTTGTCGTCGTCGTCGGCGTCGTCGTTGTTGTCGTCGAGGTCGTGGTGGTCGGCGTCGTGGTCGTCGACGTTGTCTTGGTGGCGATCGTCGTCGCCGTTGTCGTCGTCGTGGTGGTCGTGGTCGTGGTGGTGGTGGCGGTCGTGGTCGTTGTTGTCGTCGTCGTTGTCGTTGTGGTTGTCGTTGTCGTCGTCGTCGTGGTCGTCGGGGTGGTCGGCGTCCTCATCGGCGTCGTCGTCGTGGTTGTTTGTCGTCGTTGTCGCCGTCGTCGTCGTCGTCGTGGTTGTGGTCTTGGTCGTGGTCGTGTGGTCGTCGTCGTTGTCGTGGTCGTCGTCGCCGTTGTCGTCGTCTTCGTCGTCGGCGTCGGCGTCGTCGTTGTCGTCGTCGTCGTCGTCGTCGGCGTCGTCGTGTTCGTGGCGCCCAGGCCATGCGCTGCATGCCCCTGCGAGCTGGCCGGGGCGCGACGGCCTCCCGCTGTGTGCCGGGCGAGCCCGCGGTCATGGGCAGAAGGGCCGAGCGCCGGACCCTGGGACCCCAGGCAGCGCGGAGCGGGGCGCTTTCTCGGGAGCCCAGGCCGCGCCCTCCTCCATCTCCTCCTCCCCCTCCTCCTCCTCCTCCTCCTGCTCCTCCTCCTCCTGCTCCTCCTCCTCCTCCCCCTCCTCCCCCTCCCCCTCCCCCTCCTTCTCCTCCTCCTCCTCCTCCTCCTCCTCCTCCTCCTCCTCCTCCTCCTCCCTCGCAGGCGGGTGTCCCTCCTCCTCCTCCTCCTCTTCCTGCTCCTCCTCTTCCTCTTCCTCCTGGGCAAAGCACAGGATGCTTAAGTCGGGCGTGTCCCTCTACAGGAGGAACGTTCAAAAATAGTCAAAACATAGTCTTGGGACGATTCTTAGACTATTTTTTTTTTTGACTATTTTCAATTGTTCCTCGAAGTTCCGCCTGTAGGAGGACATGCCCGAACTGACAGGAGGCGGACGCAGCGCGACCTGCCCCGCCTCGTGGGCTGACGATTCTATGCGGCCACTTACCTGACACCCCTGGAGTCGGCGGCCTGGGGCGTCTGCGCGTGCATGAAGAATGTGGTCGCCCCTCTCAGCGGTTGCCGAGCTCCTCCTCCTCCTCCTGCTCCTCCTCCTCCTCTGCCTTCTCTTCCTCCTCTTCCTCTTCCTCCTTCTCTTCCTCCTCAAGGTCGGTATTGGAGGTCGCCGACGCAATCGCCGTGGCCACCGAGAGTTGGTTTTGCTTGTTGCGTCCTCTGGGTGCCTTTTTCGGGACCAAAACCGGATCCAGTGTGAAAACATTGCACTCGATGGCCAGATTTTGAATGGATTTGCCATCATTCTCACTCTTGTTCGAGTTTCTGGGGCCCCATCCAATTCAGACCCCCTGGCCGCCTCCAAATCCGTTGTCGTCGTCCTCCTCGTCCTCCTTGGACACTTGGCTCGTCTTTCTCTTTTTGGTCTTGGCCTTCTGCGTTCGTCCCTTTTCTTCGCTGAGTGTACTTGTCTGCCCCCAAAAAGGTTCGGTGACCGAACCGAGCGGTGCCTCAGTGGGGATTCGGCCTGGCCTCACGGTTTTGGGACTCAGGTCGTTGTCCGAGGATGTCTCAGGCAATTGGGGCTTCCGAGTTCCCAAAACCGCGCGGTGACGCAATTCCGGTGCGTTGGGGTGTCTGGGGGTTTCAAGTTCACCGCGCGGTCTGTCCCCACCGCGCCGCTTTAGGACCCCAAGTCGTTCATCCCAATTCCCTCTCCTCTCCCCACCTTCCTTAAATGTAGATCCCTGTCGCACACTTGTCGTTAAGGCAGACCGCGCGTTTCGTCTCAGATTTCCTCACCACCACTTGTGATCTTGAAGTTTGAGATTCGTCGTTTGCGGAATGGAAGGAGGGCCCTCTTCAAAATGGAAATCTCGCTTAACGCGGCGCACATTCGCCTCAAACATTTGCAGCAACTGCACGGTTGGAGGTATGGTGTTCATCATGGAGTCTCGCTGAGGCGCCGCGCAAATTCTTCTTACAAGCTTTCAATCGTAAGATGGATGCAACACAGGTCGTCATCGTGTATCGTTCGATTCTGCGGCGTGCACATTCATTTCAATGGAGTGTTCGCTTCAGCGCTGCGCACATTCGTCTTGAAACTATGCACCCGATACAAGGACGGAGGATGGTTCTTTTCTACATGGGGACGTCGCTTAGTACTTCAATATGTACGGTCATGGTCCTACCCTTCGCGTGCGGTTTGGAACACGCCAATACACCGTAAGTGCCTTGTAATTAGCGTGTGTCCTGCGTGGCTTGCACTTAGCGGATATCGGAGGGCTGTTTCACCCGACCTTGGTTAGCGTGTACGCTCCTCAACTGCTTAGCGTGTCAACGGCTCCGTTTTCGCAGGGCCCGAAATCGCATACACGCTGAGAATAGGACCATGACGGTATACATATCAGAAGCTTCAGCATATCCAGTTGCTTCGTTGATGGAGGGCGGTTGGCTTTTTCACGATGGGGTTCTCGCTTGAGGCCCTCGAAACCTGTGACCAAAGAGAAGCAAACACGTGCACAGCAGGGGGAAGGAAAGTGCGGATTTACGATCGGGGGCCTATCGCCGACCGATCGGCGACGTATCGCCGATTCCATGTCGATGGCCAGCCCATCCCTTCTCGTTGCCCGTCAAAAGCGCATCTCGTGGACACATCGTTGAGCTGTGCATGATCTTACCTGTCCGTGTTCCTGGCTGCGAGCCGGAGGAATGCCAGGCAGTCCCCTTACACACGGGATGCTCACGTGAATGGGAGGCCCATGAGAAGCCGGTCTGTCGAAGGGCTCGCCAGAGGAGCAGCGATAGGGAAAGCAGTGCAGACCCTCACGGGGCGGGGACCTGTGACGGGAGGGTGCACCGCAGCACCGCGGATGCAGCTTGTGTCTGCTCCGGTCCTCCCCCCCTCCCCCTCGGGCATGGTTCTTGGGCCGCCCGAGAGCGAGGTATACGCGCGAAACCGAGGCATGCTCCAGGAGGGGGCGTCCGAGCGGAGGCGGGTCCCTCGTCGCGCGAGGGGGGGGGGGGGGGCGAACCGGGGAGGGCGCGGCGACCTTCAGGGAGGCCCTGCCTCGGGCCCCGGCACGGGAGGCGGGGCCGTCTGTGGTGGCCTGGGGGCCCGCGCGAGTCAGGAGGGAAGAAAAACACACAGGCACAATGAATCGTCGATCCCCAGGAAAATATTGGAAAATGTGGGAAATTCGGGGAAAGACAAAAACCAAGAAAATATAGGAAAATATGTGGAATCCTGTTCTTTGTGTGTATTTTTTGTTGTCCCAGGGCATAGGGGGGGACACATCGACCCCCAACCGCCCGTTGATCGCCGATAGGGGCCCGATAACCCCAACCCGCCCAGGAAGGTGCGGATTCACTATCGGAGGCCTGTCGCCGATCTATCGGCGATGTATGGCCGATTCCAGGTCGATGCATCCCCCCTATGCCAGTCCCCCCCTATCGTTGCCCCTCGCGTCTCCGAGCGCGTGCCACTACTCGCAAAGTGCCTGCTCGCACATCCGGCAACCCAACCGTGCGTGCCTCGGTGTGATGGATGGCAAAATCTCCGCGGCGGATCGGGGCCGTCTGCGAGCAGCTGCTCCGCGAGCAGTGGAGCGCGCCTGCCTGGTGTGGGCGCCCTCGCCTCCAAGGCGGCGTGCCGCGCTGGCGGCCCGCGCAGGCCGCCGCGCAAGGCCGCTGCAGCCGGAGAGGGGAGAAGAGGCCACGGGCACGGAAGCTTTTGAGGCGCTCCGCGCGGGCTCCTCGGGTCTGCGCTGGGCACCCGTGGCGGCGCCTCCGAGGCCGCCCCTGACGCGCTCCGCGCGTCCGGGAGTCGCCGAGCGCGGTCCACTGCTCGGTGGAGCAGCTGCTCGCAGACGCCCGACGAACACGTGCCTGCGTTCATGTAGTTCCTCATAGATTCCCCGCGGAGGATTCAGGCCATTTGCGAGTAGTGGCTTTGCGAGTAGTGGAACGCGCTCGTCTAGGGAGGGGATTTCTAGCCGGGATCCAAGACACACGCGCAGACCTCCAAAAGTTTATGTTCATGCCGCTCTTTCTTCCTCGATACAGCAGTCGACGCGCATAGTGAGGACGCGCGCCTTTCCTGGGGTACCTTTGTGCCCTTGCCTTTTGCGGCCCGTCCTCAGCTGTTTCCATTGGCCAGCCTCTCAGGGTACTTTTTGCGTCCCTTGGCTTTTGGTCGCCCGCCGCCCCAAAGTCCCAACTTCGGCCTCCAATGGTCTTGTGTTCTTATCACCCGTCCTTGTTACACGTTTTCACTGTATGTAATCTCGCGTACGACCCCGTTCTTTTCGTCGCTCATGTGTCCGGGATGGGTGGGGCCTGGGAGGGGTTCGGGGATCGATATTGAGCGGGTTTGGGGTTCGTCGAGGGCTCCTCCTTGCGTCTCCACTCCTCCCTTTTGGACTTATTCTTCCTGGCTTCTTCACCCGGATTGGCCCATACATCCGACGTCGTGATTGTTCGCATGGCGTTAACCCTGTAGCTCTCAAGCCCATTCAGGGAACCATCTTTTCGCTGCGCGTGGAGTTCTCGCATGCCGGTGCGCGCCTGAGTCTCACACGAGCTCCCAGATTGCGTGTTTTTTACAATCCAGGGAGGGTGTCCACCTCAGTGGGCCGGAGGACTTGTACAATTGATTGATCGGCAGGTAGCTGTATCTCGAGCGTCGCTGAGACTGCTCAGCGCAAGCGCCAGAACAAGCGGTGGGGGGGCATCGCGTCAGGGCTCGTCGACATGTTGTAATGAGCTGGCTCTCTCGACGAGAGATGTGTCGGCCTGTTGGAGCAGCACCCCCTCAACAATGGGAGGACCTGCGCGGCTTCCAGACGCCTCACTTCCAGACATCGCTGATCACAGTCTTAGATTCCCGAAGCAGTGCTTGCACTTAGGGGTTCTTATTTCAATCAGTGCCGGTAGTTAGGGGTTCTTGCTTGAGTTCCTTCAGCATTTGGATGGGTCCGCCGAGGATTTTACACATTGCCGCCTCGTTGGCGCTCTTAGAGGCACCGTGCGCTGGGTTGGTTCGCCGAGGTTGCGCCGCGCTGCTGCCCGTGCCGCCAAGTGGGCTCGAGGAGGAGGAGGAAGAGAAGGAGGAGGAGGAGGCAGGGGAGGTGGAGGAGGAGGAGGAGGGAGAAGGAGGGAGGAGGAGGGAGGATGAGGGAGAGAAGGAAGGGGGAGACGAATGAGGAGGTGGAGGGGGAGGAGGCGGAGGAGGAGGAGGGGGAGGAGGAGGCGGAGAGGAGGCGGAGGAGGAGGCGGAGGAGGAGGAGGAGGCAGGGAGGAGGAGGAGGAGGAGGCGGAGGAACAGGAGGAGTGAGAAGGAGGGAGGAGGAGAAGGAGGAGGAGGAGGCGGAGGAGGAGGAGGGAGGAGAAGGAGGAGGAGGAGGGGGAGGGGGAGGAGGAGGTGGAGGAGGAGGAGGGGGAGGAGGTGGAGGAGGAGGAGGGGCCGCGTGCGCTTGGTACGTCCGCCCAGGTTGCGCCACGCTGCCGCCCGTGCCCCCTCGTGGGCGTGGGCGGTCCGTGCGGTTGCCCGTGCCGCCTCGTGGGCGCTCGTGGGTGCCCCGTGAGTTGGGTGGCTCCCGTCGAGGTCGCGCCTCGCTGCCTGCGGGCGCTCGTTGGCGCCTTGTGCGCTGAGCTGACACCGGGTAACTTGCACCACAGACCTTACACCGCATGTCATATGGCCGTCGGCCCATCCCGCCACCGTGCCTCGGCTCTGTGTCCGAGGCCTCTCGGATGTTCGTTGGGATCTCGTCGAGGCCTCTCGGGGCCTCCTGGCGGCAGTTTTGAGGCCCCTGGGGTGCTGCTTGGGGGGCTTCGGGGTGGCCTCTTTGGACCTCCTAAGGGGCCCTTGGCACTTGGGGCCTCTTGGAGTACAGTCAAGACGCTGAAATAAGGAACAGTTTGGGTTCGGAAGGGGCTCGATGTTCCTTAGGTTCCTCCAGCACTGTTCCTCTTGCCCTCCTGGGGCACGGAGGCGCTTACAGGGCCAAGAAGGGGCGTCGTTCCTTAATTTAGCGTTTCTTCTTTCAGCGGCTCGACCGTATGGGACCCGAGGACTCTCAAACTTGTGCCGTAAGAGCACGGTGGCGGGATATTCTCGTCTCGAAGAATATACTCTACCACCCTTCCGAGCCTGGACTTACCAGGCACCCATGTGATAGTATAATTGATTTGGAAGTATGTTTCATTGTTCATTCTCCATTTGAGATCATACAATCCCAGCCAGGCCAGCATCGACCCTCTATTTCACCCTTCCCAAATGTACAATTCGCACACAACTGTCCATCTCAATGCATCTAGCTCTCAGCAATCATTTGCAAACAAGGCAACGCAGTCCACGCGTGCATACACATATCGAATTCATACCAGACATTCGCCATACAATCGCTTCAATATAACAACACCAGAAACCCAATAGTTTCATCAAAGCTCGTGCAGATGTTTTTTTTTTCCGAGCGCACTTGCTGAAATCATATGAGAACAAATAAATGATGACAATCGCGCGTAGATCCAGTATTCTCATCTCACCACGCAGTGCATCAGCGTTGATCTAGCATGTGCCCCGTGCACGACTCCGTATCAACGAATTACCGTGCGGGTCACATGCACACACACGCACACCGCCACGCGTGCGTGTCGAACTCTTTCAAAACCATCGGTTTCCGAAGCATTTCGACCGTCGTCGTCGTCGTCGTCGTCGACGTCGTCGTGGTTTTTGTCGTCGTCACTATCGCCACCACTATCGCTATCATCATCGTCGTTGCCGCCGTTGTCGGCGTCATCATGATATTGCGCCCGCCCGAGCCATCGACCCGCACTGACGCGCACGCGCGCCAGCGCGGCCTTGCAGACGCGCGATGATGACACGGCGGCCGCTCAGGAGGAGGGAGGAGCCATGATGGAGGTGGGAGAGCTCGGCGAGGTGGAGAGCGGAAAGGACGCGGAGGACGAGAAGGGCGAGAAAGAGGCAAGAGGACCGATGCGTGAAGGAGGAGGAGGAAGGAACATGGGGTCGAGGGGGGAGTGGAACTTGGGGGGGGGGGCAGGGGAGCAACTGGAAGGCGCAAGTGGAGGAGAAACCAGAGCGAGAGAGGCCAGAGGAGAGCGAGGAATGACGACGAGGGCGGCGACGAACGCGCCGAGTGCTCAGCCGGCGCCGGGCTCCCCAAGCCAGGCCCTCAGGCGAGGGGGGGGGGGCGCGGCGTCGGGAGCCCTGCGATGGCGGAGGGCGGCGGGGACGACGCCGGGGAGGCGAAGCACCCCTTTGAGCGCCGCCGTCCTCGTCGCCGTCGCCGCCGCTCCCGCCGCCTGCAGCGGCATCTTCGCCGCCGCCGTTGCTGCCGCCAACGGCTTCGTCGTCACCGCCGCTGTCGTCGCCGCCGCCGTCGCCGTCGTCGACGCCGACGTCTTCGACGCCGTCGCCCTGTTTTCCGAGTGCAGCACGGCAGGCGTTTTTGGCCTTGTGTGTTGGAGCAGTAGTTTGCCAATGGCAAGTGTTTCTGCTACAGGAATCGTATGAGTGGTTCTAAGGGCTAGTCCATAGCTTGTCGTAAGGTCACTGGTGTTTTGTTTTGTCATGGGAATGTGTTATCATATTTGTAGTCTTCGGTGCAGTAGCTGATCAACAAACAACACGCGGTCCTTAGGCACTTGCGTTTTTCATTGGCAAACATCGGTTGGGTGTTATCGGCAGGGTAATAGTAATTGATCGGTAGGTTTGTTCGTTTCGTGTTGAAAAAAACGAAGCACACTCCCACATAATAGAAACTAGCCTGACGAATGGGCGATGGAGCGCCTCGTGCTGACTGGATTGGCAGTGGTCATGGTGCCGCACTGTGCATACGGCAGCCGTCGCAATCGTCGCCTCCTCCGATCTCGCTATCGCCTCCCACACCTCGCTTCCTCGTCAACCCGCCAGGGGGCACTCAGGCCCTGAAGGAGTGCCCCTCGCTGCCCTCCTGCTCCTCCCTCTTCCTCATACTCCTGTTCTCCCTTCGCCCTCCTCTCTCCTCCACGCTTCCCTCTTCTTTTATCGCCGCCCCCTTCTGCCTCTTCGAGACAACCACAATGTGTTTGGGCCCCTTTCAGAACTGAGGGTCCCGTGTCGCTTACAGACTGCAAGACACATAATGTTTGCTCCCTCCTCCTCCTGCCCTCCTCCTGGTCCTGCCCCTTTCTCAAGGAAGGAGGGGAGGAGGAGGAGGAGGAGGAGGAGGAGGAGGAGGAGGAGGGATGCAGAAGAAATGGGGAAGGAGGAGGAAGGAGGAAGGAGGAGCAGCAGGAGGAATGAAGAGGAAGCAGGAGGAAGGATGAGGAACGGAGGAGGAGGAAGGAGGAGCAAGGAGGAGGAGGGGGAGGAAGGAGGAGGACAGAGGAGGAAGGATGAGGACAGAGGAGGAAGGAGGAGGAGGAGGAGGAGGAGGAGGAGGAGGAGGAGGAGGAGGAGGGAGGAGGAGGGAGGAAGAGGGAGAGGAGGCAAACAGGAAGAGGGAGGAGGAGGAGAAGAGGAGCCTCCCTCCCTCCTCCGCCCCCCTCCCCCCTCCCTCCATCCTCACGCGCCGCCGCCGCCGCCGCAGCGCCGCCCGTGTTCGAGCGCGGCCTCGGCGCCTTCGGCCCCCCAGGGCGGCCCTTGGACCGCCCCCCGTGCCCGCTCCCCGCTCCCCCCCCCCTCGTCCTCCGACTAGCCCTGTCTCAGCGGCGAGCGGGGGGGGGCTAGAAGGAGAAGGCCTTCCCAGAGGTCGGCGGGACCTCTCGTGCATCCCAGCGCGCCTTCCAAGGAGTGCGTTCCGTGTCTGGGGGGGAGGCTCAGAAAGCTCTCCAGAAGGCGGGCGGGCTCCCGGGCCCTCCAAGAAGGCCTCCTAACTTCCCCCGGGCTCGCCCGCCGACAGCATCTACCTGGGTGGGTGGTAATGGGGGGGTGGACATACGAGGGGTGAAGAGAAGCAGCCCTCAAGGAGGCCCTCTGGGGCACCTTGTGGAAGCCAGCAGGCGCCCCAGGGGAGACCTGAAGGGCCCCTTTGTGGGCCCTTGTCTTCCCCCGCCCGTTGAGCTCGCCCCCCATCACCACCCGCCCGATCTGCAGTCAACCCGCATAACGAGGACGACCAGCTTCCCAAGGTTGCCTTTGCAGCCTTCCCTGCGGCCCATCCTTGGCCGCTTTCGCTGCCTGCGCCCCGCTCGAAAAGCTTCGAGATGGCCTTCCAAGGTCCTGGCATCCTGATCTTGAGTAGGTTCAAGGGTCAGAGCGCGTCCCCCTGCAGGACCACCAACAAAACAACGTCAAGGTGGTCAAACGCCTCGCCGCTTAAGCCGACGATCATGTGCAGAGTCCAACCTTTTCTTATGTCCAAAGTGTTGGCTTGACGCCGGGTGCGGTGCATCAATTTCAGCTTGGCCAAACAGGTTGGTTGCGCCATTTGGCAGACCTGACCCACCAGCCCATGTTACGCGGGTTGCGTTTACTCGATTTGCTCCTCGGTGGCCCCGCCCGGCCCCCCCCTCGACGCAGTGCCTCGTGTGCGGCGGCTTCGGCTGCGACAGCTGCCAGGGCGGCGCCGACCGCGAGGAGGTCGCCCACCCCTCTGCCGGCGCGAGCAGGAGGGACGAGGAGGAGGAGGAGGAGGAGGAGGAGGAGGAGGAGGACGACGACGACGAAGACGAGGAGGAGGAGGAGGAGGAGGACGAGGAGGAGGAGG